CCCGTGAGTTCCGCAACAGCGTCACAAGTGCAGACACGCACACCTGGGAGATAGTCTCCCCCAAGAAAGCAGCTGCGCAGGTGTGTGCGTTTCTGCAATGTCAGATTTATCTGTCAGACATGCACAGACCAATCACAGAAAATGAGCAAGTTTAGTCAATAAGGCGCATCCCTCATACCAAGCAAGGACAAGGAATAGAACAGAGTTTGTTGTCTGAGATGCTGTCATCACCGGGTGGGCAGATGTCAAGCTCACTGAAGTTGCCATTCCTCAATGCTTGTAGAAGCCTCTAAGGCAGGCACAGGCACACTGTGGGGCCTGCACTGCCTGGTGCGCTGAAGCCACCATTCCCATGTGGCTTTTACAGGCCTTTGTTGGTGGAGAACTATCCCCCAAACTACTAGGAGGAGTTGCTATATGGAACCCCCAAACCTCAGTCCATTCTCCTGACATGCACAAAGTCAATCCTGGACACTGCGGTGGTAGAAGGAAACATATTTATCTGCAAGACACAAAGCAAGGAGCTGGGGGCAGGCACTGTGGCGCAGTGGGTTAAAGCCCCAGCCTGCAGTGCTGGCATCCCATATGGGTGCCGGTTCGAGTCCCAGCTGCTCCATTTCTCATCCAGTTCCCTGCTAATGCACCCAGGAAAGCAGTGGAAGAAGGCTCAAGTCCTTAGGCCCCTATACCCACAAGGGAGAACTGGAAGAAGCTCCTGGCTCGTGCCTTCAGGTTGGCTCAGCTCTGGCCTGGCCATTGAGGACATTTGGGGAGTGAACCTGTGGATGGAAGACCTCTCTCTGCCTACCTCTCTCTATAAGTCTGACTTTCAAATAAATAAATAACAAAAAGCAAAGAGCTGGTTGGCTGTTGCTTAGTTCTCATAGGAGTTTCAGGTCTGAAGTTTCTTAGAGATGGAAATTGGGACTGAGACCCAATTCACCTGTGCCCCTTCAGCACATGTCCAAGTTCCTGGCTGGTCAGTGGTGCTCCTGACCTCCCTTTGATTGGTCAGCAATGCCATGCTCTGCAGGAGATGTTTGTGGTGGCCCGGTGGGCTTCGGTAATTCTGGGAGCTCCATGCAGGAGGTGGTTGCTGCCCACCCTGGGCAAGAATTCCCTGGAAGCCAGACCTGGTGAAACTGACCATTTAGATGTGAATTACTGGAGAATTTCCTGGGTCAGTTGCACCACTCCCTCTCTTCAGTGAAGTCCTTTAGCAATCTTAAAGGAACACATGGAAACCCTGAGCTAAGGGTGGTTTGCTGGGTCCCAAGAATATGTTGGCCATGCTTTTAGGAACACTAGAATACGGGTTCAGTTTCATTTTGGGTGGGTTTTATCCTTATCCTTAAGTCCAAGAATCTCTGTGTTGTCTGTTGCCTCCCTTAGGTCATTCTCAGCACTGAGCCCTGGCAATGTGTCTGGGTGATTGCTAAGTCCTTCACTGATGTCACTGGACGTCAAAATGGAGTCACTGTGGTCAGCCTTGTTCAGGCATCACACAAACAGCTTCCTCAGAGATTCATCTGTCTCCACCAAGACCCTCTTCCAGTCTCCGAACTGCAGCCGGCACACTTCATTTACCATCACTCCTCCATTTCCCACAAAGCCCTTAACCTTCCATTGGATTTTCTTGCCCTTTGGTTAAACAAAAGTGGAAACTATTAAAGGGACAGGTTTTTAATGCAGCTGTTAGGACTCTACTTGGGGTACCCCTGCATCCCATATCAAAGTGCCTGGGTTCCTAGCCTTGGCTCCACCCCCAATTCCACCTTCTTGCTAATGCTGACTCATGAGGTCCCAGCTTTTTTTTTTTTTTTTTTCTTTTGCCTGGCTACTACAGGCATTTGGGGAGTGAACCAGCAGACAGCAAAGTGCTCACTGTCTTTCTCTCTGCCTTTCAAACAAAAATAAATTTTAAAAAATTAAGTGTTAAATCAGAGCTTCTTAATATGAAAGAGTGACTAATATGGTTTACCCTAGTAGTCGCTGATTTACAGCACTAGCTGAATGAAGAACTTATACTGAGCTGCTACAGGAAAAATTTTGTTCTTCGATGGAAAACCTGCATCCTGTGAGCAAACCATTGAAGTTACGGGATTTTGATTTCCCGGGTCCTTTTATTTTGCTTTATAATGATTTTTTGTTCAGATAACTGATAGGAATGAAACTAATTCTTGCCTGAAGACACGTGAATAGATTCTGGAGATTGGGATTCAAATGATAACTGTGCAGAAGCCAGTTTTCATTTGTACATTCAGTTCAACATTCTAGACCTACACATGTGTCTGGTCTTTGAAACAGTTTACATCTGCCTGGTCACTTCATTATATGAGATAAAGTTCTGCAATTGAGTTTATTGCAGGCCTGGATGATACCTTTAACTTTCTATGGAAGATGCTACTGGTTACCCCTCGCCCACCCTCCAGTCTCACCCTGGGCAGAGCTGTACCCACTACCAACACCCTCTCCACTCCAGCCCCCGTTCTTTGCCTCCTCCGAGCTGAGCTGTTCCTTTTGCCTGGACCTCACTTTGCTCATGGGTGGCTTCTATCCCTTCTTTCCTAAAACCAACAAGAATCACTTTCTGGAAAGCCTTTTCAGCCCTCTGAGAATCAGTTACAAACCATCCTCTTACAGCGCAGGTAGCACTTGTTACAAACAGGACCTTGCGTTTGTTGGTGGGATTAGTTAACACTTGCTAACACAATTAACATTTTTCTCTGGCTGGGAGCGGTGCGAGAGAGAATGTTGCTAAGCTCACCATGCATCCCTAGCCTCCCTGCCTGTGCTTTGCATGTGGTTCAAACATAATTCCTGTTCTAGACCAGTTGGCCACTAATACCTGATACAGGAGAGAGGCCGACTGCCGACTGAGAGGCCATGCCGACTGTAAGTATGTATTTGGAGTCATCAGCATGTAGGTATGACTGTGAAAACACACAAGAAGCAAAAGAGCAAGCTGAGCCACGGGGAGGCTCTAAGAACCTTGTGTAGTGGACGGACTGCACAGCAGCCAAGGGATAGTCATTTGTAGGCAGGGAAACGGCGGCAGATAAGAGGGCACTGGGACTGGTGGCCTCTCAGGGGCAGGGAGGGCAATTCTTTGCTGACGCTACTCAGTCCTGCATTTGCTGGACCGGTTGAAAGGGAGGATTTACAGGCAGCATTGAAAGCATCCGGAAAGCTGGGTCTGTGCAGCTGCCTACCTTTACAACAACAGTGTGTGTGTGTGGGGGGGGGGGGGTGACACTGTGGCACAGCAGGTTGAGCAGCTGCCTTGACATCAGTACCTGGGATGAGCCCCAGTTTGGGTTTCTGATGTTCCACTTCTGATCCAGCTCCCTGCTTATGTGCCTGGAAAGGGAGATGAATATGACCTGAGTACTTGGGCCACTACCACCCACATAGGAGACCCAGAAGGAGTTCCAGCCTCCTGGCTTTGGCCTGGTCCAGCCTGGCTATTTAAATGGCAGAGTTACAAGATATGGATGGTATGCTGGCAGCAGTTTAACCTGCTGTGCCACAAGACCAGCCCCCCCCCCCCAAATTTTTAACAATAATAAGAAAGCTTTGAGTGAATGTCTGCTATAGATATTTAAACCAGCCTTTCCAATGGAAATCAGTGGTTTATATTTCTTTGGCTAAGGGTTGTTTGCTGTTGTTGTTTTTTTATTCTTAAACCTTGGCTGGAGTGACAAACTGGCATCCTAAGGTTTACTTGGCTTATTTTCAAAACACTTTCATTTTTTAAATTTTAAACCTCTTTATAAAGAGACTAGGGTTTCCAGGAACACCTGCCATTCCACCGGCCCAAGTGACCTGCCTGGGCGCTGTGATCTGTGAGGCCTGGGACCCCACCAGAGCAGAAGAGGCCTTTTTCTGTGTCGCAGAAAGGGAGCCATGAAGGTGGTTGTCTGCATCAGTGACAGCTACGGCTGCATGAAATCAACTCGTGAGCCACACTGGATTTAATCGCTTTCGCCCAGAATAAACAGCTCTTCTCCCTTCCCAAAATCAAGCCAGCCCCAGTCACCACTTCCCATTCATTTAAAACCAGTTAGTCTCATAATTTAGGATGAGATCCCAGGAGAGCCGACAGAGCTGGACTGGAAGTGGAGCAGCCCGGACTAGAACCGGCGCCCATTTGGGATGCCGGCACTGCAGGCGGATTAACCCACTGTGCCACAGTGCTGGCCCCCGACCCATTCATTTGTAAGCCCAGTCTCCCAGTCTTGCATCCGAACACTCCTCTCACCGGAACCCTGCCCGCCTCAGGTCACTGGGAGTTTATCGTGGTGTCTTTTGCTCGAAGACGGAGAATGGCTTGGAGATCTCAGGGACTGTGGGCGCGGCACCCCGTTCACACCCGGAGTTACAAATCCGACTTGGGGTGGTGGTGCACAGAATTGATAAAAAACCAGTCTGAATCCCAGATTCGCCTGCTCCCCCTTCCGTTTGCCTGTTGGGGTCGGTGGCGAGCAGTAGCCAGCGCCCAGATGCAGCCCCCCGCCGCCCGCGCTCCGAGGCAGAGCCTGTCTTTTGTCCGGAGCTGAGCAGATGTAAATGACTTTCCCCACGTTTCTTCCGCTGTGCCCACGCGTCCTTGAGTGAATCTAGCTCTGCCTGCTCTAGCTCGCTCCGCGCGCCCGGCTCCCTGCACCACCCCCGCCCCCAGGGTCCGGGGCTGGCTTGGGTCGGCGCGCCTGCACACACACCAGGGGGCCTGGACCGTGGGAGGCTCCACCCCTCCCTGGGATGCTGGAGGGGCTGTGCCATTCTCTGCGCCGGACCCTGGCTCGGGGCTCCAGGCAGAGCACCTGCACTCGGCCGCGCCTCCAGCTCTCGCGTTCAGCCGCCCGCTTCCGGCCGCCGCCGCCGCGTCCCGCAGCCCAGCGCCCCCGCAGCGTCCGCATGGCCAGCCCTCTGCACGCCGCCGCGGCCCTCTCGCTCCAGGTACCAGAGCCCCCGCGTGTGCAGAAGTGGGGAGCGCTGGAACCCGGGTTTCGGAGTCCGCGCCCTAGTGCAGCATCTTCTGTAACCCTGGCACTCGCTGCTGCCTCTCCCCGTCCCTCCACAGAGGTCCCTGCCGGCCGGGTCCGAGGCCGCGCGGGGTTGTGACCTTCCCGGGGTACGTGAGGGTCGCCACGGAAGCCGCTTAGGGGGAGGCATCTCTGGGCTGCCAGCACTCACAGCCTCCCCCCAAATATTTTGACCGCAGCCTTCTCCCTGCTGGGACCGGGTTTTGTTGAACAGATTTTAATTTTTTTAAATGCCTGCACCTTTTCCCAATTAGCTCGGGTCATGCTGTTTTTTATCTTTTCAATTGTGCTCTAGCGCCAGGAGGCTTGGTGGGGTTTGGCGTCGGTGCTTCGGCACGGGAGGACCCTGCCCGTGGGGAAAATGGTTCACGCCGGCCCCCGACCCCTTTGCAGGCTTGCTATTGTGCGCGCGTGATTGACGAGGCCACGAGGCTGAGCGCGCCCGGGAGATTTTCCTATAAATGGCTTAGAAGCCCAGTCTGGACGCTTTCCTCGGATATAACGGGGACAATCGCCTTCCTGTTCCTGGCTGGCCTGGAATCTCAGCGGGCTGCCCAGGCCAGCGCAGGGGCACCCGCAGCCGCGACCCGGCGCCCAGCGGGCAGTGGAGAGCGGCGCTCCGCGCCGGTGCGGGGCCCGGGGCCCGGAGCGGGGTTGCCGGGGCCCCAAGCGGAGCGCGCGGAGAAATGGTGAGTCCCAGCGACCCCCCGCGGACCCCCGGCACCCACCTGGGTGGACCTAATGGAGCTGCCTTCTTCTTTAAGGACTGCAGTAAGGGATGTGCCGCGGAAGGTGCCGGAGACCCAGGAGATGGAGGAGCGGCAGGGGTGGCGAAGACGTTCCAGGTGAGTTGATTGCCGGGGATTAAGTGTGCGAAACCACATCCAGCTGGGTAAATTCACGTCTTGTTGCGATTTGGGGGGATTTTCACTGCGTGAATTACCTGGTAGCTTAGGTCCTCTGGGTATGTTCCTAACAAACAAAAATTCACCTGGCTGTTCGTTGCTCGCTTCATTTCGCGAGCCCTAAATACTGCCTAGATCTTTCTCTGAGTGCATAATCTGGAGTATAGGTGCAGCCCTTCCTTTCCTGGAGGAAGGAGCTGAAATTGTTCAGTCATCTCATTAAGGGGCACATACCACTGTACAGTAGAAGTGTTGCATTTCTTTTTTTAAAGATTTATGTGAGAGGCAGAATTACATATACATATACATATATATATATATAGAGAGAGAGAGAGAGAGAGAGAGAGTCTTCCATCCGCTGGTTCACTCCCCAAATGGCTGCAATGGCCGGAGCTGAGTCCATCTGAAGCCAGGAGCTCCTTCTGGGTCTCTCACCCGAGTGCAGGGCCCCAAGGACTTTCCCAGGGCATTAGCAGGGAGCAAGATTGGAAGTGGAACAGCCGGACTCAACTCAACACCCATATGAGATGCTGGCTTTGCAGGAGGTGGCTTAATCCCCTTGGCCACCACAGTGCTGGCCCTGAAGGGTTGCATTTCTTGTTCTGTCTGAATAATGGGTTTATATTTTAAATGGCTTCCTTCAGGAGAATAAGCTCGTGAGATAAGAATCTCATTGCAGTACCTTGAAAGTCATAGAATATACGGGCAGACATATGGTCTTTCCCCCATCAGTCATTATCTACCTTCCCCCCAACAATAGAGGTTTTCACTCTTCATTGTGCACGGCTGTGTTCTTCTGCCTGCCTGCCTGTCATTGTCACCCATTGTACAGGCTCCTAATGATCTCACCTCCTGGCATAGTTGAGAGAGGGAGTGCCACTTGACTGAGGAGTTTCACTCAGCTTTCACAGTGTACTGGGCATTGGAAATCTAACAGTAATTAAAATTTCAGTCTCTGCTACCAGATATTTAAAAAACACACACACAATAGACTCTTGGAGTTCTCTTTCTGATTTGTATTCAATTTGTATTATTTTAGCTTTAAAAATATTCTGGGATGGGCATTGTCCCATAGTGGTTTCAGCTGTAGCTTGGATCATTGGCGTCTTGTATCTCTGGGTGTGGGTTCAAGTCCCAGCTACACTGTGTTTCCAATTCAGCTTCCTGTCAACGCACCTGGGGGGGGGGGGGAGTGGATCATGGAGCTCATACTGGGGTTAGACCTGGCTTAGACCTGGCTGTTGTGGGTATTTGGGTAGCAAATCCATAGTTAGAAGATCTCTCTGTCTCTCCCTCTCTGTCACTCTGCTTTTGAAATAAATAAATCTTTTTTTTAAAGATGTATAATTTATTTATTTATTTGAAAGTCAGAGTTATACAGAGAGAGGAGAGGCGGACAGAGAGAGAGGTCTTCCATCAGTGGTTCACGCCCCAGCAACGGCCGGAGCTGCGCCGATCCAAAGCCAGGAGCCAGGAGCTTCCTCCAGGTCTCCCACGTGAGGGAAGGGGCCCAAGGACATGGGCCATCTTCTACTGCTTTCGCAGGCCATAGCAGAGAGCTGGATAGGAAGTGGAGCAGCGGGGTTTCCAATCGGCGCCCATGTGGGAAGCCGGCGCTTTGGGCCAGGGCGTTAACCTGCTGCGCCATAGCACCGGTCCCTGAAATAAATAACTCTTAAAAAAATTTTAAGGTAATACTTTTTGTAATTCTGCGGCAGCAGTACTCTGCTCATCTATGAAGACTAAGCTCTAATCCGTTTCAACTCCCTTGAGATATGGCTCCTCTGCTTCATACTAAGATTCATTTTATGCAGGGAGTTTCTCAAAGGAAAAAGGTAAATACAATTTTTCCTGACCTTTATACTTTTGTACTTTCCAAAACAAAGAATTCATGCTGTAAATAGTCTGTGTGTTAATTTAGATTTCTGTATGTTAGGCTTTAAAGGGAGGGTTGTCTGTGGACATGTGATATGCCTGTTTACAAGCAAAACATGAATCACAGTGGTGGATGCATTTCCTGCAGTTATGATGAGGCAAGTGTAAAGTGATCATGATAGTTTGGATAAAAATGGTGGATTTCATCTTTGGCTTCTGGTGTGTTTTTCTCTCTCTGTTAATCTACCCCATTTATAACTGTTTTCTCTTTGGGATTCTTCATGGGCAGTTTGCATATTGCTTCTCCACTCCCATTTTGATGCAGTCATGGTAAAGTGAGGCTGCAGTTTTCTAACAGGGCCCTGATCTTTCTGGGGACCACAGGCTCTTTGGTGTTTAAGAGCCCAACCGTCTGTCTACATTCCACATGGTAATTCTCTGCTTCACATCTCCTTGTTAGATTTTTTTTTTTTTTTTTGACAGGCAGAGTGGACAGTGAGAGAGAGACAGAGAGAAAGGTCTTCCTTTGCCGTTGGTTCACCCTCCAATGGTCGCCACGGCCGGCGCACCGCGCTGATCCGAAGCCAGGAGCCAGGTGCTTCTCCTGGTCTCCCATGGGGTGCAGGGCCCAAGCACTTGGGCCATCCTCCACTGCACTCCCTGGCCACAGCAGAGAGCTGGCCTGGAAGAGGGGCAACCGGGACAGAATCCGGCGCCCCGACCAGGACTAGAACCTGGTGTGCTGGCGCCGCAAGGCGGAGGATTAGCCTAGTGAGCCGCGGCGCCGGCCTCCTTGTTAGATTTTTAAAGGAATATTTCTAAAAGATCAGGATAGCACCCAAGGCTTTGCAAACAGGGTAAGAAAAATGCACAGGGGCCTGTTGTGGAGCAGATTTGCATGCCCACGGCAGTCTAGACTTGGCTTCAGCGACTGCGGGCTGTGGAGTCCTCAGGTGCACCCAACCAAGGTGTATTTCCCTGCCACGCTCTCCACTTGTCGGAACACATGGTTACCAATTAAGAATTTAGAATTACGAAATGGCTTTTGTCAGTATTTCTCCCCATTTCATAATCGATTTTGTGACATTCGTGTTCTTCTGGAAGCCTGTGGTTGGAAACTCCCAGGCCCTGACGTCATGAGAGAATGCGGAGCGTCAGAAACTGATCACGCAGGGAGAAGGACCACTGATTTTTATCCATCTGCAGGAAGGAAAGTGGAAAAAACAAAGTGGCTTTTAGAGAACACCGATGACAGTTGTTTATTAAGTTCCTTGTATGTCCGTCACTTCCTCCTTGGAACTGCATGTCGTGTCTATTCTGAACTGCAGACACACCTTTGCTTAGTGTTGTTTACTTTTGGACCTCAGGCCGCTGTGTCACCTAGTTTGCGATGTCTTTGGTAATTTCTCACTGAGTTCAAGTTGAAGACTTCTTAGTTTCCAGAACTGCAGATCTTTTCTCAAAGAAAGGAAATTAGAGTTCTTGATGAAACTCTGAAACCACCGATGTGTACGTTACGTTGACAACTGGATGTAGGGCAGTAGTATAGCCATCGGAGTTGTAGAGGGTGGTTCTTACTGCTGGGAAGTCACCTGTCTTATTAAAGGATGCCTTGGTTTACTGAAAGAGAACGGATACTTGGGAATTTAATCATGTACAGTCAAGTTTTAGAGATTTAGCAAGCTATAATTACAGGAGCACTCAGAGCAGTGTGCAGAAGCCTCATTCTCAGTCTCTGTTATTAACTGATTTCACATCACTGGGCCAGTGGGTCATTAGGGCTGGTCCTAGCGGTATTTTAAAGAGACAATTCAGAAAACTAAAAGGTAGTCTATGCTGGTTGTGCTGTGATCAGCTCAACACTGGCTCTTGGCTACAAGTAGAATTTGAACTTGGGCAGTAAAAAAAAAAAAAAAAAAATATATATATATATATAAAATCTAGATCCCACTCTAGATCCTGAACCAGAACCTCAGAGAGGTGAGACAGGGGTGTGGTTGTTTTTCCATGTCACAAGAACGATTGTAACTGTGCAGTGAGGGTTGAAAACCACACCCCACTATCTCCGTCAAAGATCTCATGGACTTGCTGAGCCAGAGTTGAAAGTCACTGATGGGGAGGGAGAATTGTGGAGCCTCAAGGACAAAGGTCAGCATTACTGAGATTCTTGTATTTTACCACTGTGTAAACCATCCTTTACTTCCTTCCTGGTTTGTTCCTTCCTGCTTGGAAAACAACAAGAAATTAAAACGTGGTAGCCCCAGCTCTCGTCTTATCCTCAGTGGCTCCTTCAACCTGCCTGGTGTTGAACTGGACTTCCTTGTGTTGCAGCAGCCCGCTGCCAGGATTCCTGAAGGAAGAAGGAAGATGGGGTACGATGTTAGGAGCCGTGGAGCCACAGCTGACGGATAAGTGGCAGTGTTGGTCAGGAACTCAGTGGTGTAGCTGCCTGTCTTGCTCCATCCCTCTCTCTCCCTTTAGTAGCTACAGTGTCTCTGGGGCTCCTACCAGTCTTTAACTGCTGAATTGTCTTCATCCAACATCCTTGTTGATTTCTTCCTATTGTTCCTCTCAAGGACTCTTCTGGTTTGGTTCTCAGGTGTTTCTTACGGCTTATAGCAGTACACCTACTTAGTAGCTCAAAAACATTAGGTTGAATGCATGAGTAATCATAGCAACAGCTAGTATGTGTCCATGGCTGATAGTGTGAATCCCCAAGGAGCAGGGGCTGAGTTATGGGCATCTTGGACATCCTGTGTTTGCCTCGTGCAATGGCTGAGCCATGGAGCCGGTGCAGTCATTGATGCAATGAGTTAATTAAACACAAGCGTAAAAAACAGTGAAGAAAGTTGGAGAAACAAGGGAGGAGGCCAAAATGCTCCATAGGTTGAGATGAGACAAAATCATGGTCTTGTATTAAAAATATTCTTGTGCACGTAGTCATTGGAGTTGTATGAAGGGCTTCAAAAAGTTAATAAAAATTGAATAAAAGATTAAGTTTGGAACAAAAAACCCATTGTTTATTCATTTCATGGCAGGAGGAGTTAAAGAGAGCACACATACTTCTAAAGAAACAAGGATCATCTTGGGGCCAGTTTTCCGGTACGGCGGGTTAACCTGCCGTCTACAATGCTGGCATCCCATATGGGTACCAGTTCAAGTCCTGGCTACTCCATTTCTGATTCAGCTCTTTGCTAAGTGCCAGGGAAAGCACCAGAAGATAGCCCAAAATCTTGGACCCCATGTGGGAGACCCAGATGAACTTCCTGGCTTTGGCCTGGTCCAGCCCAGGGCGTAGTAGCTTTCTGGGGAGTAAAGCAGTGGGTGGAATCTCTCTCTGTCCCACTCTCTCAGTAACTCTGCCTTATAGCTTATATTTGGAAGCACAACTGACTGATGATAGAAATAGCTGCTGGCGAGGTAAACTTTTATTTTGCTTTTGAAGAAGCCTGCACATTACTTATTTTTGTAACTGAACAAAATATAGTTAGGGTCTATTGCTTTCACAAGAAATGTGTCCAAAATTCAGTGATATAAAAAGTTCACCCTTTCTGCTCACTGTTTTGCCTTATCCCATCCGTTTTACTAAGAAACTTTCACTAGTTGTCTTACTAGAAGGAAGTGGGTGCCGGCGCTGCAGCTCACTAGGCTAATCCTCTGCCTGCGACACCGGCACCCCGGGTTCTAGTCCCGGTCAGGGCGCCGGATTCTGTCCCGGTTGCTCCTCTTCCAGGCCAGCTCTCTGCTGTGGCCCAGGAGTGCAGTGGAAGATGGCCCAGGTCCTTGGGCCCTGCACCTGCACGGGAGACCGCGAGGAAGCACCTGGCTCCTGCCTTCAGATCAGCACGGTGAGCCGGCTGCAGCACGCCGGCCACAGCGGCCATTGGGGAGTGAACCAACGGAAAAGGAAGGCCTTTCTCTTTGTCTCTCTCACTGTCTAACTCTGCCTGTCAGAAAAAAAAAAAAAAAAAAAAAGAAGGAAGTGGGCATGAAGTTTGTCTTAGTAGGCTGATAGGGTCCCAGATTTTTCTTAGCCAATCGTCTTCCCATTCCACCAAAAAAAAGGCTAACTAAAGCAAACAAAATCAGATGTGCTTCCTTGGGCCACAGTACTGTGTATCTATTCATGCAGTGAAAAGTTTGTTAGAATCTCACTGCCGTTCAGTCTTGGCTGATGTGAGTGCATCTGTGAGTCTCTGTGGTATGCATCTGAAGTCAGCCAGACGTCAGTGTTTAAGAAAACCTGCACTGGGGCCTCTGTTGTTGCATAGCTGGTTAAGCAGCCTCCTGGGATCCCACATGGGCATCAGTTCCTGTCCTGGCTGCTCCACTTCCAATTTATCTCCCTATGGATGGCCTGGGAAAAGCAGTGGAAGATGGTCCAAGTACTTGGATCCCTCCCTCCCATGTGGGAGACCCAGATGCAACTCTATGCTCGGCTTCATTTGGGGTTGTGGTCATCTGGGAAGTGAACCAGCAGATGGAACATCTTACTCTCCCTCTCTGTAACTCTGCCTACAAAAATAACGTAAGATAAATTCTTTAAAAATCCCCTCATATACTTACGTATATCTTGTTGATTGTATTTCACAGAAGAGCCCTCACTTGTATAGATTAGTTTGGAACCCTGCCTCCCACATGGGAGACCTGGAAGAAGCTCCTAGCTCCTTGCTCCTGGCTACTGCTTGGCCCAACCCTAATCATTTGGGGAGTGAACCAGTGGGTGGGAGATCTCTCACTCTGTCTCTCTGTAACTCTATCTTTCAAATAAATAAATAAATCTTTAAAAAGTAAACAAATCTGTACTCTCCTCTGTGACCTGCAGTGTCTTAGGGCTGGAGATTTAGCTTGGAATATGCCAGTCAGGACAGGCTTTAGCGAACTTTATAGTAAGGACTCACTCAGTTAATACTGTAGGCTGAGAGCTGTCAGGTTTCTGTCACAACCAGTGGACTATGCCACAGCTGCTGGGTGAAGAATGGTACGACTGGTCCAATCAAACTGTTTTTTATAAAATAAGCCTGATGGCTGCATTTGGCCTGCAGGTGAAATTCTCCTGACTCCCTAGTTAGCCTGGAGGATAACAGGAGAGAAATGTTGTTCAAAGAGAAAAAATGCTTTAGTTGAGATATATCCCTTTATGTAAACTTAGTGCATGTAATGAAGCATTTAAAGTTATTTGGATTAGAGAGTGGTGGAAGAAAGTCAATTTTCTGTCCAAAGTTGACATTTTACTGGCGTGTTACAAAGGAGTGTGGCTAGACCAGACTAGCTGAAGATTACAGTGATAGATTGTCCTAATGCCCTCTGACTGGCAGCTTTCTGGTTATCTTAGAACATGTTTTTTCAGCCTATATAACTGATCATTCCTAAGGTATCAAAAGTCCAAGGTAGCTCTAATGAAGTGAATCACTCAGAAATGTTTATGTCATTAAAACAATACAGCTGTCTCTTGGTGTCTTCGGGGATTAGTTCCAGGCCCCCCAGTAGAAACCAAATGTCCAAGTAAAGTCTTGAAAAAGTTTGCGTGTAACCTGTCCGCGTCCCCTGCTCTGCAGCCGAAGTCATACCTTGATTGGCTATAGTGATACATGAGTAGCTGTTAGAAGGAATTCTTTACAAGGTAGTAGGCAGTTTTGCATTTTCCCCCAAATATTTTCAATGTATTGTTGGTTGAATCTGCATGGAGAACCTGCAGATCCAGGAGTCACTATAGTGATGATAAATGCTGAGGATAAAAAGTAAAGTTCTGTGTTTGCTGTGGTGGGAGGAATGAGGATTTTTGTGGAGTGAGAGAAGTGCGAGGGACAGACATTTGGCCCTGTGGTTAGATGCCTCCTGGGACACCTGCATCTCCTATGGGAGGAGTGCCTGTGTTTGAGTCCTCGCTGTGCTCCTAATTCCAGTTTCTTGCTAGCACAGGCACAGGGAGGCAGTGGTGGGAGCTCACGTAGTCGGAGCCTGCCACACAAGTGAGAAACGCACATTGAATTCCCAGCTCCTGTTCGGGTTCGGCCCAGCCCTGGCTGTTGTGGGCCTTTAGGGAGTAAACCAGCAGATGGGCTCTCTCTTGCTGTCTTCTCTCTCTGTCTCTTAAATAAATATAGACAAAACAAAGAAAAAAAATAAACTTTGATATTCCTTGCAACCTGATGACAGTGTGGATCTTTCCATTGTTTCCAGCTGGTGGGAACTCCTCCCCTCATGGTTTTACTAGTGTTCTACAGACAGTGTGGTGGTATTGAAGTCCTCAGAAGGCTTCCATACAGCAGTTAGCCATTTGTGATGGGCAGCTGGCTGTGTGGAGAGCAGGCAAAACACTACGGTGTGAAGTTGTTTCCTGTTATTTATCTTTTTTAGAATATGAGGTCAGTTGTTCACTGTTTGCCCAGTACAGAACATAAGTGTTTTTTTTTTTTTTTTAAAGATTTGTTTATTTGAAAAGCAGAAGAGGTATGGAGGTGAGAGAGAGAGAGAGAATGAGAGAGAAAGAGAGAGAGAGTGCAGTTAAGTCTGGGCCAGGCTCAAGACAGGGGCCAGGAACTGCTGCCGGGTCTCCCACATGGGAGGCAGGGACCCGAGCCCTTAGGTCATTTGCTGCTGCCTTTCCAGGTTTCTTACCAGAAATTGGAGCAACCAGGATTCAGACTGTTGCTGGCATTACAGGTGGCAGCTTAACCTCGGTACCACAGTGCTGGCCACAGGACACAGGATGTACATCTTAGAGGATATTTATTTCACTTTGTTCATTTCTTCGGCAGTGCATCCAGCAGGTGTTGAAGGCTTGTACCGTGAATCCTTTGGGAGCTGTTGGCACACAGCCGTGGCCAAGCAGAGTTGCAGTTCTTTTTTTTTTTTTTTAAACACATTCAACAATGCCTTTGAGTGGCAGCAGTGATTTTCTTTTTTTAAAAGAATTAGTTCTTTATTTGAAAGGCAGAGTTACAGAGAGGCAGAGGCAGAAAGAGAGAGGTCTTCCATCTCCTGGTTCAGTCCCCAAATGGCCGTTATGGCCAGAGCTGGGCTGATCCACAGCCAGGAGCCAGGAATTTCTTCTGGGTCTTCTATGCAGGTTTAGGGGCCCAAGGACTTGGGCCATCTTCTGCTGCTTTCCCAGGCCATAACAGAGAGCTGGATTGGAAATGGAACAGCCGGAGCCGGCGCCGCGGCTCACTAGGCTAATCCTCCGCCTTGTGGCGCCGGTACACTGGGTTCTAGTCCCGGTTGGGGCGCCGGATTCTGTCCCGGTTGCCCCTCTTCCAGGCCAGCTCTCTGCTGTGGCCCGGGAGTGCAGTGGAGGATGGCCCAAGTGCTTGGGCCCTGCACCCCATGGGAGACCAGGAGAAGCACCTGACTCCTGTCATTGGATCAGCGCGGTGTGCCGGCCACGGAGGCCATTGGAGGGTGAACCAACGGCAAAGGAAGACCTTTCTCTCTGTCTCTTTCTCTCTCACTGTCCACTCTGCCTGTCAAAAAAAAAAAAAAAAAAAAGAAATGGAGCAGCCGGGACTCAAACTGGCACCCATATGGGATGCCAGCTGTGCAGGCAGAGGCTTTACCTGCTATGCCACAGTGGCGGCCCTGAGAGGTGTGGTTCTTATTGTGGGCTTGAGTGTTTTTTTATTATAGAAGATGCCTCTTTAAGTGAATCATATGCTGGGAGTGAAGAATGGATGTGTTTGATTTTTTGCATCATTTTATTCCAATGACAGTTTTGTCACTGTTCATAAATATCACAGAAATTTGGTTTTGATACTCCGTTAGGCAGTGTATACTGCAGAGTCTCTGAATAGCTGGCTGAGTTTGGAGCACAGGCATGGCTTGTTTGGCTCATGTAATATTTAACGTCTCTGGTCATTTCCAGCTATTAAAAGTCGGGTGAGTGATCTCACATTTGGCCCTCTCTATGGACCTTCAGTTACTATTCTTTAATGGTGCTGATTTTTCTTTCCCAGGCTAAAGATCTAATAATCACACCAGCCACCATTTTAAAGGAGAAACCAGACCCGAGTGGTCTGCTGTTCGGAAGTGTGTTCACCGATCACATGTTGACAGTGGAGTGGTCGTCTGAGGGTGGATGGGAGAAGCCCCACATCAAGCCTTTTCAGAACCTCTCGTTGCACCCTGGATCTTCAGCTTTGCATTATGGAGTGGAGGTGAGTCCATGGGACTAGACGGGGGTACCAGTGTTTCCTTTACGTGGATATGAGTACCTCCCCTGCTACAGCGGCTTTTGCGGGAGGGTTGCATTTGGCACAGCAGTTGCATTGACAGTTGGGAAGTCTGCATTTCATTTCGGAGTCCTGCTCTTGTTCAGCTTCCTGCTGATGTGCATCCTGGGAGTCAGAGGTGATGGCTCAGGTAGTTAGGTCCCTGCTTACCCAGGTGGGAGACCCACAGGGAGTGCCAACCTCCTGGCTTCAGTCTGAGCCAGCCCAAGTTGTGGGTAGCTGGGGAGTGAGCCAGCAACTGGAGGCTATAATGGTTTTTTTTCTGCCTTTCAAATAAAATTTAAGGTAGCTTTTGGTAGTATAGTTGTATCATATTTACTGGAGGAAGTCATAATTCCTTTAAAGTAGGCCAGCACCGCGGCTCAATAGGCACACCGGGTTCTAGTCCCGGTCGGGGCACCGGATTCTGCCCCTCTTCCAGGCCAGCTCTCTGCTGTGGCCAGGGAGTGCAGTGGAGGATGGCCCAAGTACTTGGGCCCTGCACCCCATGGGAGACCAGGAGAAGCACCTGGCTCCTGCCTTTGGATCAGCGCGGTGCGCCGGCCACGGCAGCCATTGGAGGGTGAACCAACGGCAAAGGAAGACCTTTTTCTCTGTCTCTCTGTCTCTCTCTCTCACTGTCCACTCTGCCTGTCCAAAAATATATATATATATATTCCTTTAAAGTTTTTGCTATAGACAGTTGGATTGAGGATAAGTCTTAAGAACTAATTTGTCAGATCTTGAATTTTCTCTCATGTCAATTAAAAATCTTCTAGAGCAAATAGAAAGTATCTTTGGTAGTGAAAATAATGAAAAAGACGGTACTGTTTATACAGTGCTGTTAACTTCTCAGATCTTCTAGTGATTGAGAAGGGACCACTGTTGAGTAAAATGTTAGGATTAGACTTTAATTGTATCTGCATGTTTTTAACAGATAATGGTGCCTATTAAGGGACATGTAATTAAATGTCCTCCTTCAGGCATGAGTTAGAATACTATAAGCATAAAATGTTGAGAGAATTCTTTCCCTGGACCGTTTGAGGATTCAGAGTTAACCAGATGTACCCTGTACTCCTCATTCTCTTGAGCTCACATTTTACTTTAGTTTTATTGTGTTGGACATCTTTCCCACAACATTAGGGACACTGGAAATGAACAATTGTCAACCTGTTAAGAGACTAAAAAATGGTGAAATGTTAGTCGTTATTGTGGTAAAATCACTACTTTCGCTCATTGACATCCTGCAGAGTGGCCTGTATTAAGGACTTTATTTGCAGCACCTCATTTAGTTTTCTTAAGTGAGGAAGCGTGTGATTACGCATTCGGGATCTGGAGTCAGACTTGCTGGGCCCACATTCTGTCTCTGTTGCTCCCTAGGGCACTCTGTTTTAGGAAAGGCAGTCATCTGTGCTTATGTATAGAATTGTGGTAGTGATGCTGTCTAACTCATAGCACGCATGTAATTATAAAAATGAGCTCATTCATTCCAGCATATAGGGCCATCCATGCTGTGTAGTCGGAGCCAGAGTTGCTAGCTGCATCAGTCCATGATGGAGCAGTAGCATCTGTTACAGAGGTAGGCTCAGAGAAGTTTATTTCTTGCCCAAGAATACACAACAGTATATGAGGAGGCAGGGAACCGCATGTCTTATCAGAGTGCCTGACTCAATATCCACCTCTCCCTCCTGACTCCAGTGTCCTGCTAATGCATGTGCTGGTAGACAGCAGTGATGGTTCAACTAATTGGGTCTCCACCACCCATAAGGGAGATGTGGATTGAGTTCCTGGCTCCCAGATTCAGTTTCCCATCATCCTTAGCTGTCATGGCTGTTTAGGGAGAGAACCAGCACATGGGATCTCTGCCTTCTGTCTGCCCCTCTGCTTCTCAAATAAGTATTTTTTAAAAAAAAAACACGTCAAATAATTTTGGAAATTCATTGCCTATGCATATGAACCCCAAAATTCTTGAATTTAGGAATTTAAGTTCCACTCGCAGTGTGATTCCTTAATTATCATATTGAATGTGTTCTTCCGTTATTTACACCAAGCCCTTACCATGTCATAGGATGTAATGAGTTTGTGCTTTTAAATTTGGAATGTAGCCACGCCAAGGGCACTGATTCTTTTTAATTAATTAATTAATTTTTTATTTTTTTGACAGGCAGAGTGGACAGTGAGAGAGAGAGACAGAGAGAAAGGTCTTCCTTTGCCGTTGGTTCACCCTCCAATGGCTGCCATGGCCAGCGTGCTGCGGCCGGCGCACCGCGCTGATCTGATGACAGGAGCCAGGTGCTTCTCCTGGTCTCCCATGGGGTGCAGGGCACAAGTACTTGGGCCATCCTCCACTGCACTCCTTGGACACAGCAGAGAGCTGGCCTGTAAGAGGGGCAACCGGGACAGAATCCGGCGCCCCGACCGGGACTAGAACCCGGTGTGCCGGCGCTGCAAGGCGGAGGATTAGCCTAGTGAGCCGCGGTGCCGGCCTAAGGGCACTGATTCTTAAACTTAGCGTGGAGCCTGTGTTCTAATGCAGTGTGTTGAGCAGCAGCTTGCAACACTGACTTCTGATCTAGCTCCCTGCTAATGTGCCTGGGAAAAGTAGCTGAAGATGGCTCAAGTGTATGGGTCCCTGCCACCCATGTGGGAGACCCAGTTGGAGTTGCAGGCTCCTGGTTTCAATCCGATCAAGCCCCAGCCATTGCATCCACTTGAGGAATAAACCAGCAAGTAGAAGATCTCGCTCTTTTTCTGTGTGAGTGTGTGTGTGTGTGTGTATGTGTGTCTCCTCCCCACCCCCACCCCGTCCCATCCCTCTACTTTTTAAGTAAATAAATAAATATTTTAAAAAATTGAAATTTCAAGTAAAAATTAGGGTTATGGACAATGTTATCCATCACTGTGACCTCAACCACTTTAAACTATTAAAGAGATTTTTGATAATATTAGTGTTTATATTAACATTAGGGAAAGATGTTAATCTTTTGAAGAACTGCGTAACTCATTGAGCCAATATTTTCCAAATGACCACTGCATGAATTACAAATTTTTGCATGGATAAAAATCTATTCAAAGTGCAAGATATACTCTGATGGCTTTTTTTTTTTAAAAAAATATTTATTTATTTATTTGAAAGAATGACAGTGGGAGAGACAGAGACATCTTCTGTATGCTCATTCACTTCCCAAGTGGCCCCAATAACCAGGGCTGGACAAGACCAAACCAGAAGCCAAGAACCTCACCCTGGTATCCCACATGAGTGATAGGGGCCAAACACATGAGTCATCATCTGCTGCCTTCCCAGGCTTATTGGCAGGGAGCAGGATTGGAAGCAGAGCAGTCAGGTCTCAAACCATCCCTCTCATAGGGGATGCTGACATTGCAAGCTGTGGCCTAACCCACTGCACCACGAAGCCAGCTCCTCTGATGGCCTTTTGATGTGTCCCTATAATCCCACTTTAGTCTCCTTCTTGTGAGTGTCAACCACTAGGATGCTCTCTGGTGAGATCACTGGGGTATGGAGGGAAGCGGCAGCTATTTGGCTGCGTGCGCATCCACACCTCCTGGTTCATCCTCAAGTGCTAATGTAGGTGATGTTGTGAAGGAATTTTGCAGGTGTGATTGAAGTCCCTAATCTGTTGATTGAATAGTAGTGAAAAGGGAGAATTTTTCTGGGTGAGTCTGACCTTGAGAACTCCCTAAGGTGAGAGATTCCAAATAACAGCCAGACCTGCACTTGATCTCTGTGTCTCTCTGTCTGTCTCTCTGTCTGTCCTTGAGACTTTATGCGGCTCCACAAGTGAGTTGGCCAGCAGTTCCTCAGTAAGTGTGTTCATAATACACGTATCTCCTACTGGCTGTACTTGAGTTGAACCCTGACTGACAGACCAATGGATTGTAAAAAAGTAACAGAATATGGAATTTAATTAATAGGGTTTCTGATGCCATAGTGCAGTAACCTTAACGGGACTGCCACTTACGGATGTTTGGCATGATGTCAAAGAAGAATCTCCACAATTGTCTGAAAAGCTTGTAAAAAATACCCTCAGGCCGGCGCCGCGGCTCACCAGGCTAATCCTCTGCCTAGCGGCGCCGGCACACCAGGTTCTAGTCCCGGTTGGGGCGCCGGATTCTGTCCCGGTTGCCCCCCTTCCAGGCCAGCTCTCTGCTGTGGCCAGGGAGTGCAGTGGAGGATGGCCCAAGTGCTTGGGCCCTGCACCCCATGGGAGACCAGGAGAAGTACCTGGCTCCTGCCATCAGATTAGCACGGTGCACCGGCCACAGTGCGCTAGCCATGGCGGCCATTGGAGGGTGAACCAACAGCAAAAGGAAGACTTTTCTCTCTGTCTCTCTCTCACTGTCTACTCTGTCTGTATAAAAAAAAAAAAAAAAAAATTCCCTCCCTCTCTCAACTGCAAGTCTTGTGATATTTGGTTTTCTTTCCCTCTCCTGCCAACCAGACAAGACTGCAGGAGATTGAATGCAGAATCTGAGACTGGAATCCGGTTGTTTTCTGTTAAGCCAGATGCCTAAATTTGAAATAATTTAAAACAGTGCCATACAAAACACTAATTCTTTTGTAAAATAGTTATTTTTTCATTAAAATATGTTAACATGTCAAAGTTTATTTTTGTGAAATTTTCTTGTTTTTAGTATGATACAGATAGAATAATCACATAAATAAAACTCTTTGTCTTCATAATTTCTAAAAATATCCTGAGGTCAAAAATTTAAGAACTGCTGCTTAACGATATCTTTCAGAATGCAGTTGCTGGGACCGGTGCTGTGGCGCAGCGGGTTAAAGCCCCAGCCTGCAGCGCTGACATCCGTATTGCCACTGGTTTGAGTTCCGTCTGCTCCACTTGTAATCTAACTCCCTGCTAATGTGCCAGGGAAAGCAGTAGAGGATGGTGCCTGCAGCCATGTGGGAGACCCAGAAGAAGCTC